AGTAATCTATCAATTTTAATTTTTCTGATTGGTTTGTTGAGCAGACTTGCTATCATCTTTCTTTGCTTTCTATTGATAATGACGTGTGCAAACAAATCCCCTCTACACACTGTATCTTTCGTAATTGGATTGAAACAATGATATGCTTCCAGAAAAATTAGTATGAAATTGCGCTGGGTATCATTGTAACAATAGAACAAGTGAGAGCAGCATCAGTTAGTTGTTTCCTGCTAGTTCAAAGCAGATCAGCTATTAAAAGAAAATAGCAGAATCAGGAACTGTGTCCTAAATAAGCGGTATTATTTCGTATATTTCATACTAAACTAAACTGTTATAGTATTCACATTTATTTACAAGGCTTTAAATTTTTGGCATACAAACATGAAAGAAAAAACACTTCAAAAATTAAGAAAATTTATTTTTATCTCAGAAATATCATATTACATACTTGTTATTAACTAAATATCTAAAATTAAATCAAGACATATATTTATTAAAAAGAATCACTAGAACAGAATGAAAATATTATCAATTTAATTCAACACAAATTACTTATTTTATTATTCTAATTTGACATAATATTTACAATTACCTATACGGAAAGTACACATCTTTGTGATATAAAAAAGATAAGTATATAAATCTTGCAGTACAAGTATGTCTATCTATTTCTTTGACGATTTTTTTTTCATTCTACCAGAAGCTCACCCTGAGAAAATTTTGGGGGTTTTTTTTTGATTATTTAACTGCTCCAGAGGATCAATATCATCATTATCTTGATTTTTGATATTAGTATTTGATAATTGTTCAAGAACGATATATGTTTGTTGATTTTGATCATAACACTTTTTACCCCATTTGGGATCTTCCAAAATTTGCGTCAAAGTTGAATATGCAGACTCACCATGAAATCTACATTTATATACCCATAGATTATTTAAAAAATGGTGATCATGATCTCTAAAAACAGCAATAAATTGACTTTCGATACACAGAACTGATATTACCTTTCTTTCTATTTTAGTAAAATTTAATGACAATTGGTGATAAATTTGCTGAATTAAAATATTCTTAAACTTATACAATGTTTTGACTAGAATTTCATCAATATCACTGTATGGTATGTTATATTTTTAATTGTATTACAATATTGTTTATAGCCATTTTCTGATTTAAACTTCTGAAAGCAAATTGGGCAAGAGATTAAAGAAATAGATATTAAATTTTGTGAAGAAGTAGATGATAATAAACTTATGATTAAAAGACAACTTTCTTTTTAATTAATGGTTAGCGAAAATATTCCTTTTATAAAGAGAAAGTTATGCAAATCATTCTTTTAAAGATAACAATATACATGATGTCAAATGATATGTCCTAGTAGGGCTTATACATCAAATTATATATTCTAATAAAGCTTAGACATGTCCTAATAAGGATTAGACATCAAATGAAATGTCTGAGTAGAGCTCTAACCAGTAGGAATAAGATGGGTTTTTGGCTAGGACTGATGGGTTTGACATATGATTTTGTATAGCTATTATATTCTTAAAATTATTTAAGGTATAGTTTAAAATTATTAGAGCATAATCGAGTAATTGTTTGGTGTATTTGACCAATTAAATATAATAAAATATAGGGTCCAAATTAAAATTTGGTGTCTTTAACTAAGGCCCAATTCTGCTGATTCGCCCATATGACATATATTTTAAAACAAAAGATAACGATAAGTATAACGATAATACTGTATTATTTTTTTAGTAATTATAGCTTTTTCTCTAACCAACTAATGTTTCTTTTGCATTATTTAGATTTTGTTTAGGCATTTTGGATTTAATTCTAGGTTATGTATTTGGATCGTATTGTGAATTTTACTAAACCAGTACATCTTTTCTGATTTCAAACTATTTACTGTTAGATCTTTTTAAATGCACTGCAATGGGACCATATGTAAAAGTTAGTTAAATATGTGATAAATATCTACGAATATCATATTAGTTAGGTCTAAGTGAAGGCATGTATTTAGAAACTTTTAATAAAGAGTGCATTTAGATAGGGTATATATATTTTTTTATTTATTTCATTGGAACTAAATTCGGTCTTCAGATTTAAATTCGATTTCTTTCGAATTCGGATTAAATCTGAATATAAAATTGAATATACTGAATCTGTAAAGTAAAGTATGATCTGAAACATATAGAAGATCTATAAAATTGCTGTGATGATAAATAGTACGTATTAGGTATGATAAATCTATTGTTTTTAGGTAGCTGAAACTTTGTTACAGAGTATGCAATAAATTTAATATATGATATAAAAAAATAATCACTTTATTTTTAATTCTCAAAGATTTAAAACAAATAATCAATACATTGATATAAAAATTTAATAAAACCCTAATGAATATTGTTATCTATTTTTCATTCAATAATATTTAAATATTAATATTTACAAGAAAAATTTTTTTTATTTCTTGCTATAATGAAACTTCCACTAATGATTCCATAAATTAGTTCTGTTGCTGTTGCAACAAAAGATTTAAATTGTAAAATCATTAAGAGAAGCTAGTATAGCCAAAATGAAAGTTTCGACAACCAGTTGAATAATTTTTTTTAAGGTGCTTTAGATGGTATAATATAGATTACGAAAAATAGAAAAGAGTATGCTACCACATCGTTAAGGCCTAAATATTATTCATCATTCTACCAGGTCTGTTTTTTATTACTTTTTAAATAAATATAGTACCTGATTCCACACAAAGTATCTATAGATGCAAAAGTCAAGACTATAAACAATGCTATTCAATATCACTATTGCTCACGTTAAAAAAAGTAGAATTAGTAATACAAAAAAAAGACCTTTAGTTTACAAGTATATAATACATAAAATGATTTTATCTTAAAAGAGATATGTAGTAAATTCTTGTAACTTGATTTTTAAAAAATTTGTACTACAATCTGATTGGTAAATCTATTATATCATGTGTTATTTATTTAATTCTTATTGGCTAAGGATATCAACAGAAGAATATTTACTATAAAAAAATATATATTTATATTGATAGTGATATCAACAGGGGATTATAAAAAGTTGATATATGCAAGAGAATTTTCATATGGGAAAATTTGTACTATAGGTGAAATTAATAATAACAGAATGTTGATATTAATAAGGTTGATATTAATGAGAATAACCTGTATTTAATACCTCCCTAAAACCTCAGGCTTCACTTTAACCTTAAAGTAAATAAATGAAAATTTTTTTGTATTGTTATTAGTTAATTACATACTGATAATAATTACTGCTAGTTATTTGAAGTTAAATTCTTTTTAAAATTTTAATGTTTTGAAAATAAGCTATTTATAAAATTTTTATGTAAGTTTTGCTTAAAAATAGTAGTTTATTTTCAGAATATATAATATTAAAAACAAGAAAATAACTAATGAATACCACAGGTGATGATCATCTGCAATTTACAATATATAATTTTGTGTAATATAAACAAATAAATAAACAATTTAATAAATAAAAAAATATTTTTTGGAGGACTTTAGAGTAAAAGTCAGAGCTCATATTAGAATTAAAGTTTAGTAATATTTATAGTAAAATTTTACAAAGAATTTTTTTTACTTAAAGCTTCAAAATAGTTTCATAAGCAAAATTTTAAGATAATTTTACTACAAGTGATAATTACCTGTAGTGTAAATTAGTAATTTTCTAAAAACAAATATATATATATTATATATATTACTGAAATAGGTTTTCAAAAAAACTTTATTTTGTTTCCATTAGAGCAAATTAGATTTTTTTATATACAAGAGCAAATCTAATTTAAGTAGTTATGTTTTTTATAATTTCATCTCTTCAAAAAAAGTGTTAAAAAATTTCATCATTTAAGTAAAATAGGTCAAAAACAATTTTATTTTCAAATTTTAATTTTAGGTTTTAGATCCTAAAATAATTTCATCAATATATATAATATATATGCTATATATTATTACTACAAAATTATTTTAAAAAAATTTATTTTTTAAAAATAATTTAAATTATTATAAATAAAAAAATATTAAGTATACTATAAATCACTGAAAATAAGCACCTTTAAAAATAAGTACCCTTATGATAATTAGCATAGTGGACAAATCCAAATTTGGATGATTAATATTATAGCCTAGCCAATTTAATAAAAATTTTTTTTTGATTTTTTATACAGTTTAAAGTACTTTGTATTCTTGTGATTTTTCAAAACTTACCAATTAAGTTCATCCCAAAAAAAAGCCATCGAAAGATCTTTGACTGCTCTATCTTCTATTAAAATTAATCTAAAATAATCCTAATATCCAAAAGTTTTATTAAAGATAAAGTTTATAAGAAATCTAAGGTAGTTAAACCTGTAATTAGAATATACAAAGATATTTTAGTATCAAAACCAAAGATAAATGATGCAAAACTAAGATCTAGTCTTTTTTAAAAAAAGCTAAAACAAGTTTGAATAATATTTATATAAAAAGCAGAGTAAAAAAAGATAAGATAACTCATTTTTATATACTTTAAAGCTAAAGTTATACATATTACAAATGAGTTTGTTATTTTATAAGTTAAATTTTATTTTAACTATTACAATTTAAAATATATATAGAAATGATTTAGAAACAATTAACAAAGTATATTTATTGAATAGATTAAATAGAAATAATTTATACGCATTTAAAAATAAAATTTTATTAAAAAATATATAAGCAAATAGAGAATTGTAATATTGTTAATATCCCATGTTCTAGTGGATAAAATTTGACAAAACTTATACCATTTAATTTGGCTCATTAAGTTGAATCGAATAATATAAAATTCATCAAATTCTGACTGCTGAATCGTGAGATATCTTTGATTTAGTAAATAAAAATTTTTTGAATATTATTTAATTTTATAAAAATTAATTGGCCAATTATCATGTGTACGGACATGACCAATCATTTAATTTCATGTGATCGATCATCCTCATACTTTTATTAGACAGATCAGTTCTGAGTCACAAATTTTAAATTTGGAAGTTTGTACTACTATGATTGTCCACCATGCTATAATAATCATTAACCTCCGAAAATAAATACTTCACAACCGAAATTATTCACGATTTAATATCATTGGTTAAAAGACATAATAATTACAAGCTCTAATTTGTGCTACATATATTTGTATATATGTATATACGTATATATATACTTTTCAAGCTTCTATTCTATATCAACTCATTCATTATTTAGTTCTATACTACTTAAAATCAGATTAAAAATGGCAAGTTTTGATCATAAATATCACAATCTTTAGTTATTTTTTGTATTTTTTTTACTTTTAGATTGTCAAAGATAGAGTGCTTTAAAATATTATTAGGATGTATATAGTATTTATTTAGTTTTTTGTTTTCTTAAAAGCTTTCTTTTATAACACTGCATAATAACAACTATTTTTTTATATTTTGTCAGGTTTAATGAGTAGATTACGAAATCTTACTATAAAAAACTGGATAGAAAATACAGGCCTTTTACTTATATACTAAAAAGAAAAATTTTAAAAAACATGTATATGTTGTATCTTAGACTAGTGCTTATAGCTGACATACCTCAAATGTAGATCATCAAGTGCTTGTAATAAAATATATAGGCAAAAAAAAGAACAGAATTGCTGAAGAAACTTAATGTAAAGGAGCTCTACTGTTAGTAATGAAATACTGAAGAGATTTAAAATGATTTAAGATAAAAAATAGTGATAGTATCTGGGTTGAATATTATCTGCAAATAATCAGATATTCAGGTTGTAAAACTCAGCTACTCAGGTAAACATACCTGAGTAATACCCAGGTAGACATACCCAGATAATCTTTAGATAACAAAAATTTAAATATTTATATAGATTATCCAAGCTAACTTAATGTAAATAAACTAATAATAAACTTAATACTTCAATATACTATACAAAAAATTATTTTTAAAATATTATATTTTTCTTAAAAACTATATGTAGCCTAAAAAGGGTTTATACTAAATTAAGCGATCAATCAAAATTAAGTAGTACTTTGATAAAGACAATAAGGTATTATAAAACTATATTAAGTTTAAACCTATCAGTAACTTACCAAGTACAAAGGTAATTTATAGCTGTAATAAATATGTACTAATCTGTTATCTAGTTTAAATTCTGAAATTAGTGTGTTTTAATAAATAGATTTACAAAAGCTGCATTTCTTCCCAAAATAATACAAAATTTTAATTTATCAAAATTGAAATACTAATATAGTAGAATGATTTATTTTTTTGTCTGAGATTGTTATCAATATGAAGCTAGAAATAACAGCCCTAAATTTATCATTTTAGATAGATCCAGATTTATATATTTATAATAAACCTAATTGTAACTTTAAAAAAATTATTTATACATATATGGTATTTATACTAAATTTATAAATTTTTAGATCTAATGCAAAATAATTATACAGAACTTATTGTTGTTGATCAAATAATCAAAAATGATCTACATTATCAGAAATATATTCAAATTTCTTAATTTATTTTGTTAGAGCAGTATTAGAGTGGTATGACTGATAATATTCAAAACAAAAGATCTATTAATAGTTTAGTACAATTTTTATATAAAACACAACTATACCAAAATTATGTCAACAGATTTTAATGTAAATATTGTAATTTTAGTATTAATGATTTGAAAAATTTGGTTAACAATATGAAAGCGTTATTTAGTTATATTAATAATATTGAGACAGATGATGTTGAAATTTGTAGATTCAACAAGTCAGGCTTCGATTTGAGTA